GCATGGTACCAAATGCGAAAACAGTGTAGTGTTACTATTCTAATTTTGATATAATTTAATCCAGTTCTAAGTACTTTTTATAGTATTTAATCAGGTTCTGAGTACTTTTTCCGATTTAAAAAATCAAAATAATATATAAAAATAAAGTCATCTAAACTGAACATAACATACTGTTCTAGCAATTCTTAATGATCCTATCTAATAAAAGAGTGATATGCAAATTGACTGTCACTCCAACACACAAGATAGCTGCCCCCATGTGGACACAAGATGGCGATCGGGGGGCGGGAGGGGTGGTGGAGGTTACCAGTGGTGGCGGAGGGGCAATGGGAGGCAGGGCAGTCCACTGGTGCCTCCCCTGATCAGTCTGCCGAGTCACCTCCCACAGAGCAAGGCCAGACTGCAGTTTATGCCTGGTCCCCACCCAGGGAATGGGCCTAAGCCATCAGTCGGTCATTCCTGAGGGTTCCCAGACTGAGAAAGGGCACATGCCTGGCTGAGGGCGCCCTTCCCTCCCCCACCCCAGTGCATGAATTTTCGTGTAGCAGGCCAGTAGTTATCTATAAAACACTGACACTTTGATCCATACTTCTTTTTTTTTTTAATGTATATTGATTTTTTAATGTATTATTGATTTTATACAGAGAGGAAGGGAGAGAGATAGAGAGCTAGAAACATCGATGAGAGAGAGTCATCGATCAGCTGCCTCTTGCACCCCCCCCCCCCCCACTGGGGATATGCCCGCAACCAAGGTACATGCCCTTGACCGGAATCGAACCCGGGACCTTTCAGTCCCCAAGCTGATGCTCTATCCATTGAGCCAAACCGGTCCTGGCCATACTTCTTTTTTTAATGACATTTAATAAGTATGTTTTTCCTTTCTCTCAGAAAAAGTAGTTATGAGCCCATTACTGAAATATTTAGGAGAAGAATAGATAAGGGATACCAAATACAAGTAACTATGAGGTGACTGTCATTGCCAAGTGTGAGCAAATGAGCATCAGGCTTCTTTCCTTTTCCTTTTTTCCCCTCTTCTTTTCTTCTCTTTTTTTTTATTTTATTTTTATTTATTTTTTAGGCTTCTTTCTAACATGAAAGAGGGAAAGATGTATCCCATAGAGAACAACATTATGCTTTTGAGAATTATAACCTGCATCTTGCTCTTGGCATTTGTTTATTCTCCAGTCATATCTCATTAACATTCTTCTATGGCTGTGTGTGTGTGTGTGTGTGTGTGTGTGTGTGTGTGTGGCATTGTTGCCCTTGAAAAAAAATTTTTTTTAAACAAAAGGGTCTCTATTTGCAAAAAGTCTAGGGGCCACTGGGGCGATAGGATAGACAGGTGGGCTTCTCCTGTTGGGGTAATCAGGAAGGGGAAACCCTCCCTGTCACCCTGGCTGCCTCGGGGACGTGGCACTGGCTCAGGGACAGGATGAGCTCCAGGCCTCACCCTTTAGCAGCTCTGGACCAGGCTCCCCCCCAGTCACTGGATGTCATGGTGTCGCCTGCTATTATGCCCAGGGATCTCTCATTTTAACCACTTTAAAGAATGTTTTAAACACATTTTGAACTTTTTAAACTTGTAAGAAATCTACTGTGGGAAATTCTTTGATTGATGAAATAAGTACCTTCAATTGCATACAATTCTTTGAAACAAGTATATCCTGCTTTTTAAAGTTTATGCTAGTTCAGCATTATACATTTGAGATATTCTAAGCTTAATTTCAAAAAGATTAAGTAAATGCCGAAGATTGAAGATTCTTATAAACAACCACTCTAACTTGCCAACGTGTTTTTTTGTTTTTGTTTTTTGTTAGCATTGATTAATTCACAGGGACAAAGTCATTTGGCTTTTTCACTTCAAGTCAAATAATAAATGTGACTGAATCTTCAATGTTTGTTACTTTCCAATTTTTTTTTTTTTGTAAAAAGGTTTGTCGTTTTTCATCCTTTCTCATTTTTATACACCTTATTCATAGATACCTGAATCCTTTCACTACTACTCTTGTGACTCAAATGTAAGATGTGAAAATAGCTACTTGTGTATTGTGTGTGTGTGTGTGTGTCTTTTGTATATTATGAAATAGGCAAAGTACTTTTAAGACCACATTCTTTTTTTTTTTTTTTTAATTTAATTTTATTTTTTTTATTTATTTTACATATTTTATTGATTTTTTTTTGCCCCCCTCCTTCCCTCCCACGTATCCCCTCCCTCCCCAGAGTTTTATGTCCATTGGTTGTACTTATATGCATGTATACAAGTCCTTGGGTTGATTTATTGTCTCCCCCAGACCCTCCTCCACTCCCCGTTGTAATTTGTCAATCTGCTTGTTGCTTTACTGTCTCTATATCTATCTTTTAGTTCATCAGTTTATAATGATCTTTATTATCCACAAATGAGTGGGGTCATGTGGTGTTTCTCTTTCATTGATTGGCTTATTTCACTCAGCATGATGTTCTCCAATTCCATCCAGGTTGCTGCAAATGATGAGAATTCCTTCTTTTTTATGGCAGCATAGTATTCCATTGTGTAGATGTACCAAAGTTTTTGGATCCAATCATCAGCTGACGGGCACCTAGGCTGTTTCCAGATTCTGGCTATTGTAGATTGTGCTGCTATGAACATAGGGGTGCATATATCCTTTCTGATTGGTGTTTCTAGTTTCTTGGGATATATTCCTAGAAGTGGGATTACTGGGTCAAATGGGAGTTCCATTCTCAGTTTTTTGAGGAAACTCCACACTGTTCTCCACAGTGGTTGCACCAGTCTGCATTCCCACCAGCAGTGCACGAGGGTTCCTTTTTCTCCGCAACCTCGCCAACACTTGTCGTTTGTTGATTTGTTGATGTTGGCCATTCTGACAGGTGTGAGATGGTACCGCATTGTTGTTTTGATTTGCATCTCTCGGATAATTAGTGACTTTGAGCATGTTTTCATGTGCCTTTTGGCCTTCTTTCTGTCTTCTTTTGTAAATATTCTATTTAGGTAAGACCACATTCTTGACCAAAATTGAGTGATAGCAATCATTTTTTTTGTGTTTCTTCCTCGAAAAAGATGAATATAGATTTAGCAAGTTTATTAGATGTTTCCTTTATAGTTTAGTGAAATTGCAGGTAATTTCTACTTGTTTGAGCAGGATGGCTAGAGACGGCATTATCTTTTTAAGAAAGATGAACATTATGTCTTACAATGGAAAATTAACTTTTATATTTCAAGTGTTCTTGTTAAGACATGGGCTAATATTATTCTCTAATACCACCCTCTTTACATTGTTTAGTTATGCCATACTTTCATCATACTTGAAGTTAGAGACACATAGCTTTACAAGACAGCTTTATGCTGAATAATTTCTCATCCTTGGAGGTGGCATATAGAGCTTTCCTAAAAAAAAAAATAAGATGACTTCTACAGTAAGCAGTTCTGACCCAGTTTCTGAAATCTGGGCAAAGGGACAAAACACCCAGACTCTATTCATACAACCCAAGTGACTTAGCTCACATGAACTGCTAATATAGTTGCATGGATTATTTTTAAAAATATATTTTTATTGATTTTAGAAAGAAAAGGAGAGGGAGAGAGAGATAGAAACATCATTGAAGAAAGAGAATCATTAATTGGTCGCTTCCTTCTCACCCCACACTGGAGATCAAGCCCACAACCCAGGAATGTGCCCTCACTGGGAATCGAACTGGGACTTCTTGGTTCATAGGTTGACGTTCAACTGCTGAGCCACGCCATCCAGGCAGCATGGGTTATTTTTAATTAATTTTTAATCACACAAGTGATATAGCATTTTATTCCTCTTATTAAAATAAAAAATATAAATGATTCAAATTCTCTTCCAATTAGCATGCGTCAGTAGGATTATCTATTCCCCATAAAAATTGAACTACACTATATATTTGTAAGGTAATCAACATTCCATATTCTCAGAGGAAAGCCTGCCATTGTTTCTTTTTCTTTGTATATTTAATGCAAGTTGCCCAGGCCAAGTTACTAGTAAAATTTGACACACACACACACACACACACACACACACACACACACACCCGCCCCAAGTTGAGAAAGAGGAGACTCCCAGTACTGAGATAGAGGGAAGGGACATTCTTATCCAAGCATATACTTAAGTTTGCACAGTGAAATCTAATTAAAGTAAACCTCATTATGTGGAATTTGTTATTTGGAGAAGTTAGCAAACTCAACATACATGTCCATATGTATGTAAAAAAATAATTTCATTAGAACCACTAATCAACTTAAAATGGAAAAGAGATCTATTTCTATTTCTTGCTAATTTTGTTTCTTACCATAAAACTATACATTTGTTGGCTACCATTGTGTGTGTGTATGGCAGGGAGTTTTCATACATTTTTCCTAATGTTGTTATATCCGGTTTACAATTTAGGAAACTGTGACTCAGAAATTCCATAGTGTATTCCAAGGCCACATAGTTGACAGAGAGGGAGATGGGGTAGGGTGCTGTCATTTAGGCTCTTTACATGGCATCCTGCTTCCTCAGATCAGTTAAGAGAATCAGTTTCTGGGATGTACAAATAAAATTGTTTAACATTGTTGGCTCCTTAAATGTCAGAAGAGTTTTGAATTCTCATTTTAATGTCATTCTGGTTTTATAAGTAACTCCCCCCTTTAAGCCAGAAAAGGCACTCTGAATATTTAACCACAGGTACCAAGTGGACTTCGACCAATCAGCATGTGCGCCACTTATACATCAGTTGAATGTCATCTCAGCTTTAAGGCCTAATGAATAGCAATTAGAGTGTTTTAAACTCTTTTGGCAAGTTAATATTTTAAAAAACCCACCATGTCATTCTCAAAAATTGCCCCCTATAGTTAACCTGCTATTAACTATAGTCGTAGCATTCTGATTTCAATCACTCGAGTAGATTTTTGGGGTTGGTTTTATTGGATCACTGAAAACTTTAAATGAACCTGCGGAATTTCATGACTGAGTGTCTGCCTTGTTTTTCCCTTTTTCCAGGTCTATTATTAGCAGAAGATTTTTCTGCATAGTTGGCACGCTGTACCTGTATCGGTGTATTACAATGTATGTAACTACACTCCCAGTACCCGGTATGCATTTCAACTGCTCTCCGAAGGTAAATCACTCCTCACTGTCATTTCCCTTTTTGTTTGTTTCTCGTCTTACCCAGGGGTCCTTTGACTAAGGCCAAAGGTGAAAATTTCTTTGGAACACAGGCCAGTCCCCCCACCCTCATCTGGAAATGTCACCAAGCAGTATGGCCAGGCAGCCCCACCCTTCTCAGGGTTTCCAAACCCCTGCCAGTGCTTCCCAGCTGGGGAAATATGTGGTCTAGTGAGTGTGCTGGAAGCAGTTACGCTTCTCATGTGGGTGTAGCTCTTTGGTTTCCTGCCAGATTTTTAAAATATCATTCTCTCCCTTGGCAGAGATCCAAGAGCTTTTAGATGGCTTTTCCCTCTCTTAGATGGAAAGTTCAGTTTGAAATTATATTTTTTTTCCCCTTCTTTCTATGAATCTCTTTGGTGGTAATCTGTAACAGCAGAGCCAGTTCCTGTCTCCTTGTGTTCTCCTTTCTCCCAAACAATGGAGATTTTGCCGAATGTAGTGATCTCCTCTAGTAGCATAGAAGCCCTTCTTTAACCTAAACTTCCTCTCTTACTGTCTCTGCCTTTCCATTAGGGTCACATAACATTCCTTACTTTTACCTTGGAGTAATTTCAACTTGGGAGATCATTGGAACTTCATGAAATAATTAGCAGAATATTTGGTTTTTAAAATGTTTACCTACATCAAAGCTCTTTGATGCAATAAGAAATAGGAGAGACTGGTTTCCTGGATTTGATTGGGGGGGAGGGGGGAACATGCGGGTGACTACCTTAGTGAGTTTGACATAATTTCTCTGCACTGCACTTTCAGTTCCAGCCCTTTGTACTTTTCCTTCCAGAAGGGAGCTTTGTCCTCTGCTTGGACCTGGAAGAGGGCTGAAAATGGACTTTGGATATTTATAGTGGTGTCTTTATCATTTGAACTTTAGGATTCCTTTAAGTTACTTGCTTACTGTGTTTCCTCTTTTTTTTTTTTTTTTTAGTTTTATATTGTGCTAGTTTCTTTCTCTGCTCTTTCCATTTTGCTACAAACTCTTTCCTTAACTCTGGAGAAGCATCATAAAAAATTGTTCCTAGTGTCCCCATCTGTGTCAGCGGTTCTACCTCTGCCTCCCGTGCTGCTCTTCAGCCCGACCAAGAAGCCAGCCTCAGATCTCTTTTATTCTCTGTAGACGCTCAGGCACTGGCCTTGCAGCTCCTGGGCTGTAGGAAGGATCCAATATAGACCCTTGCTGGGAGCCTGGCTTGTTAAGCAATATGTTCTCAGTAGTAGGCTGACTGCTTAGGACATTGGTCGGCAAACTCATTAGTTAACAGAGCCAAATATTAACAGTACAATGATTGAAATTCCTTTTGAGAGCCAAACTTTTTAAACTTAAACTTCTTCTAATGCTACTTCAAAATAGACTCGCCCAGGCCGTGGTATTTTGTGGAAGAGCCACACTCAAGGGGCCAAAGAGCCGCATGTGGCTCGCGAGCTGCGGTTTGCTGACCACTGGTTAGGATATTCGCCCAAGTTTAGTTCAGCTCCTTAAAAAAGCCTGTCTGTGCATTGGGACGTTTCTCCACCAAGGAACACGTTATGCCAGCTTAGTTAGATGTGAGATCTGACCAGGCTCAGGTGGGAGATGGATCCACCTCCTGCTGGGTAGCTTTTCTCCGGACTTGGGCTCAGGCGTGGTTTCTCCTCAGGAGCTCTGCCCAGCTGCTGGCCAGTGCGGGCTGCTAGCACAGGCACTTACAGAGGCAACTTTAGTCATCAGCTTATCTACCCAAGATCTGGGACCAAAAATAGCTTGTGGGTTTTCTTGGTAAAGGCAGAGGTAATACCATGAAGTGTATGCAGAAACCAAACCCAAATGTGTCACTCATTTATTGTGTCTCTGAACACCCTGAATAAGGACATCATTCTATGACCATCTTCTAGAAATTGAAATTCTTCAAATCAAGTATGTAGGAGAGGGTGGAATATTAGCAAATCTCAGCAAACATTATCAGTTAAAACTCGTTAAATCTAATTACTTGTTTTGCAGACTAGGACTCTTGGGAGAAAGAATTCAGAAAACAGTGTTTTATTCTGAAAATTTTCAAATGTATACCAAAATTAAGAATCTAGTGTATGGTGTAAGGTACTGTTATATATCTAGCATCCAGATTCAGTAATCGTCAAGATTTGCTACATTTGCTTCTACTGTTTTTTCTTTCAAAATATTTTTAAATCCAAGTCAGTGTCATTTTATTGCTACATACTTTTGTATGTATCTAGAAATTTTGGACATTTTATTGCATAATTTTAATGCTGTTGATATATCAATATGATTAACAGCAATTATTTGGTATAACAAATACCATTTCATGGAGTACTTTGTCTTAAAATGTCCCCCTTCCCCTTTTTTTAACATTTGGTTTGTATAAGTTAGGATCTCTTTATAGTACATATACTAGTGGTTGTTCTATCTCTTAAGTCTCTAATTCTGGACCAGTCTCTCTCTCTCTCTCTCTTTCCCTCCCTACCTTCCTCCCTCTTTCCCTTCTTCACTCCCTCCCTCCCTCCCTCTCTTTTCCTCCTCCTCCTCCTTCCATCCCCCCTATCAGAAACTTGTAGAGATCAGATTAGTTGTCCTGTAGAATATTCCACATTCTAGATATCTGTTTATTTGCTTCTAGTGTCAATTAACTTCTTCCTCTTTCCTGCATATTTCATCTACATAGAACTTAATTTGATTCCATTCTAACTTGTTTGCAAGAGCATTTCGCGGTGAAACAGTGACTTCTGAAGCTGGACAGAGGAGTAGTCAAAGCCCTCACTGGCTTGGTGCAGCCCTCAGAATGGCAGATCAAGCTTACAAAATTCAGGGGTCGGCCAAGGGCTAGGGGGCTGCACTGCACAATGTCAGAAGGGAGAGAGGATAGCACTTTGTCAGAGAGAGAGATCCAGACACCTGCTTTGTCTACTGGAGAGGCATACGCAGAGCTGAGTTTCAAAAGCTTTCAAAATGTCATCCAGCCCCATGTTCTATTTGATGTCTGTCAATATCCTCACCGTGAAATCTTGATCATCCTCTCCCTGAACCATTGCCTACAGCAGGAACTTACTACCCAGTGGTTAGGATGGTCTTGCACATTCACTTACTAGCTGTGTGGCAGTTGCATTAAACTTCTCAGAACCCCAGAAGGATTATTGACAAAACAAGGCTAATGACACTTTTGATATCTGTCTGAAGGAGTGGGAGTGAAGAAGGCAATACTTAAGGGTTCTATTGGTGTTAAATGCTGTACAGAAATAAGGTAGCTCAGTATCATCATGCATCAACCCCTAGACTGATTTGTCCAGCATTTGTAAAATGCTGTGATAAGGGCCTGGAGCTAACCCACTGGCCGTAGGGATAGAAAGGAGGAGACAGATTTGAGTCATGATCAAGTGGCTGAATCAGTACAACTTAGTACTAAATTTGAGGTAGGGAATGAGGATAGAAAGGAAAACTTTTACCACTGAGATACAAGGGAAGGAGGAAAAGGGAGTTAATGATTTCAGGTTAAACAAATAGAGTTTGAGGTGCTTGTTTATTCAGTTAGCAATATAGGCCTGAAGTTGGGAAAATCAGAGTTAAAAATTAAATATTTGTGATTTGTTTTAATCTAGATGGTATTACGACTGTGCGAATAGATGAAAAGACAGAGACAGGACATAATGGAATAGTGTTTCTAGAATTGGATATTCCTCCTTGATTAGAGACACCATTTAAGGCCTGTCTGTTGGTTCTCAATAATAATTAAAAAGAATGGAGCTTTAGAATAGGACTTTCTGTTTAATATAGTCATGTGAACTTAAACTTGGTTCTGCCATCATATTGAACCCCATGATTAGTATACTTAATTCTTCCCTTAATGCCAATACCTTAAAATGCATGGATTCTAAAAAAGGTCACAATAAGTATACAGTAGTAATTATAAAAAATTGTTCCTATTCATGTATTTGATGGTGGTGTACTCATCACTTCACAGAATGTAATAGCTTAGGCAGTGTTTCCCAAACTTTTGACATATGTGTACCCCTTCTATAATTTTTGTAACGCTGAGTACCCCTTGTACTCATGAGAATGTAGAATTAGGCGCAGCTAAGAATGGTGCAGTGCGTATCCCCACCAAACTTCGGTGCAGCGCGTGCCCCCACCAAACTCTTTCGTACCCCTGGGGGTACGAGTACCACACTTTGGGAAACACTGGCTTAGAGAAATAATCGTATGTGAAAGGTGGCCCTCCCATCAAAGATAATCACTGTGAAAGGAAGTAGGTGTATTCAGTTGCTAGATTAGAAGTTTATGGGTGTTCCAGGCTTACACTGGAGGCTGCCTAGTTTTCGGTAACATGATTAGTCCACACTAATCTCATCCCAGCTTCTCTCCAAGGAACATGTGTACAACCCCCCTTCCAGTTGTTTAGGATTCCATTAAAAAACTAAAAGAATGAGGCAGAATGGGAGAATTCTTCGGTATTCTAAGCTTTCTGTTTTAGCAAACTCCCAAAGAGAGAGAAACAAACAAACAAACCTGCCCTAGACACCAGATACACTGACAGCCTGCTGCTAATGGAAGAGAAGAAATAAACTATGCAGTTTTCCACGCCCATTGTAATAATCGTATGAGTTAATCTAGTGACTAAGAATTAAAGTGAGATGCGTGTTGGGTTCTGTTTTTTGGTCTCCATGGTGAGCTTAGATTTGAAAACCTTCTAAAGGAGTTTTGTTACAGCTAAGGTACTTAGCTGGCAAATGCATTAATCTGACATGGTATTTTCAGTGAAATGATTCTCTTGAACTTGAAAGGCATGGTTTAAAAAAAAAAAAATTCCCAACACACTTGAACATAGCCCACGGTTGGACAAGGGTTATGTTTGAGTGGCATTGGAGATTAATTCAATTGTTCAGTGAAACAATAAAATACAAAAGCGCTGAAAGGCCTGTGTACTCTCTTCTGTCACCGCCCGTGTTCCTGCATTGCACAAACTAGGC